AGTGTTTCTGTGATTTCTGTGATAATTGTGTCTGTAAAAGCGACTAAAACAGTATAGAGGTGGGTCTGACACTCACTGAACCAGCCTTAGTCTGCTGCCTGTAGCCACAGGGCTTTTTCCTCTTGCAGCAGCGTAGCTGTGTCTTTACTATCTGTAAGCAAAAGTCTACAGCCTGCTCAGTCTTCAGAGCAATATGCTAGGTGGACAAGACAAAACTATGCTTGGGAGCTTGCTGACAGGTAACCACTACGGATGAACATGTGCCAGTGTTTCAACCTGTACTCCTCCTCTTCAGTTTATTAGAATAGGTATAGTCTGAGAGTCCTTAAACCTTTGAAGTCTTTCCCAATAACTGCTGCAGTAGCACAAAGCTTTGAAGGTGTCTTCATACAGCAGGGTCAGAAATCTTACTGGGGCACTCCATGGGAGAGCCATGTGTTAATGAAGCATGTCTATTTTAAATTCTTCCTCACAGAAGTTGCTGTCAGGACATTTTCTGAGAAAATTGGTGGTATTAGATTCTTGATGGAACTTGTTTGGCATGTTTTCTCATGACATGTCCACATTTGATGATTCTTAAGGCACATCTCACAAGAGAAGTTTAGCTTGGGCTTTATTTGAAATAAGTTAGAGGAAAGTGAAGTTGAAAGGATTCTTAAGGATGTTTGTTTTTCCTTTAGTTGTCTTAATTCTGTATTTCCTTTTATAATATAATCAAGCAATATATGAGAAAAAGTACAAGATGTAGTTAAGAAATTTTCAATGAAACAGTGCTAAATTCCTTCCTTAACTAAATTCATTAGTCGTAGGCATCTCGTTAAGAAATTTTCAATGAAACAGTGCTAAATTACTTCCTTAACTAAATTCATTAGTCGTAGGGATCTCAAGTAAATACATCTAGGTTTGTTAAACTTGTGGTTTAAGAGATGCGTCTCTGAAACCTGTCGTTTTTCTAGCAACAGGCTGTCCTTTTGAATATTTCCAATTTGATTTACTGAATGAAATCAGCATAACTTTGAACTTCAATAATTAAAAAACCAGCCTGTTGCATGAAAAGAGCTACTAGAAATGGTTATCCTTTCTGCCATGCAAAAGCTATGAACTTGATTACAACTTTGGTTTTGTCTGCTTTAAGAGTTTTTTTTTTTTTAAACACATCTCAAGATCTCAGTTTTGTAGTATGGATTTCATAAGAACAGAATTTTTAGTAATGACTCGTAAAGAGAAATAGCAAATATCTGCACAACATGTACGTAGATGATTGACAAAGGTCAATACTATAAATCCAAAATAGAAGACTTAAGTTAACAGAGATTATTTGTTAGCTGCAGGAACAGTGCTGCTTGTTTCCTCTAAGGATCATGCAGCCTGCAAAACCTAGTTATGTATGCATGATTTTATGGCTTTCATTTACAATCAAGGACACTTTAGCATGGAAGAACTGTAATTGGTTTGTACCACTAGCTGTCTGCCTTGCTCCTCTTTGACCAAGAAAGGCTCAGCTGCTTATGAAGCAAGTGCTAAACCTGTGCAGCCCAGCATAAGGTAAACCAGCACTCATTTCAGTTTCCTTAATAGAGCATCCTGTAATTTGCAGTAGCTTTAACAGCTGCTATGTGAGCAGCTGAGCTCTTCTTACAGCAGAAGACGACAGCTGGAGAGGAGAAATCATGGCAGCCATCCTAATTTTTAAGCAAAGCTAGAATAAGAGCATTGAAATGCTCCATGCCCAGTTTCCCTTCATAGACTTTTTAAAGAGTTTGCTAGCAATCTTTATAGATACTTCTGATGTTGATGTGGAATCCATAATCCTGTTGCATAGCAATGAGTATCTCTACAAATCAGCTCTAGCTAATAAGTGACACAATTGCTATTCCAGTAATGCCCAATTTACCTTTTCCATTTAGTTTAAAACAGTAATCCTCAGAAAAAAAAAGGTGATCTTGTAAAATGTTGATATAGCGTGGGTGTCATCTCAGATTTACAAAATTGTTCCCTATACAGTTAATTATTTTCCTGTGACAGCTCTGCAGACTTAACATGGGATCAGAGACAAGGTAGATGTCTGTATCATGACCAGTAATTACACAAGTCAGTTAACAGCTTTGTTAATGAGTGCACCAGAAACAAATAATCTAGCTATTGTAACACTGCAGCAGTAAGAATAAAAAATAAACCTTAATTTAAATAAATCTTTTTATTTTATTAACATGTTTCTGGCCATACTGTCACTTCATCCAACATTCCCAAGGAGAACTCTCTGTTGCTGACGTTCCTGCATGGTGACTGAGTAATTTGCAGGACCTGAAAAAATTCTAAAGCCTCTTATAACACTGCTTTGTTATAGGAAAGACAGACCTGTAAGAACTCAGCCAAAACTAGTTGTAGTTGTATCACTTTGAAGGATACATGAAGGCTGCACAATGTTTTAACAATGATAAATTTACAGGTGCTTCATATTTTGATTGTTTGCAGAGTGTTAGACCTACACCACAGAATGAAGCTATAACAGTACATTTCAAGCCAGTTACGTTAAAAGCCTCTGAAAGTAAATATACCAAAGTTGCAAGTATTAGCTTTGATGGTAAGTACTGCTCCTGTCATCTTAGAACTTGTCAAGTGCTTCTTAAAACTTTTTGAAACTTCATGAATTATTTTCACTCTCTTAATAAAATGTTGTTTGTAATTTTGAGAAGGAAGTGGAATTTTCCTGCCTGGAAAAGGCTTACAGTTATTCTAACTTCAGTTATTTCTGAACTTCAGTAATTTCTGATTATTATTATAATCAGCATAGTAACTTAGCCTGGTAAATATTGGTGAGAAGAGAAGGAATTCTTAATTTTTCTGTTAAACATGAGCAGTATTCTTATATTAAGACACTGATTATTTAAAATGTATTGTTAGTCTAAATAGGCATTTGTTTTTGAGAAACCCTAACAAAACAGGAAGTGTTCCTCACAGTAATGTATATTAAAGGAGAGGATATCCCTTGGATTGCCCTTTGATCCATCCTAATTTTAAAAAAGAATCCAAAATCTTATTTCTAAAAAAACTTCCATTTTATGTTGGAATGCTCATGGAAATAGGACTCTCATGCTCTTCAGAACCTTACTGTGAAAGCTGGCTTATTTTATTTTGCTGCCTTGAATTCATATTAAAGAAAAAGGGAGATGAAGGTGGAAAAACCTTTTACTGGTAACATATCTTTGTAGGGAAGGTATGTATGCTGATACTGACTTTCATTTATATGTTTATGAAAGAACTATTGGGTCATTTTCCTCCTACATAGTGTTAACTGTAAATACTATGCTAGTATTTTGTAGAAAGGTACCTCCATATTTATTATAGAGGCTTTAATCAACTGTCAGAATGCTGTTAACCTAATTGGATGTTACTGCCTTAAGATACTATTTGATGCTGTAAGTCTTTCTGCCTAAATTGCTTAAAAATGGAAGTTTATAGATGCAATGTTTTTCATTTCAGGTAGCCATAATTTTAGAAGTAGTGGGTAGAGAGGAGAATATTGATTTTGATTATTTTTGTTTATTGATTAACACTTTAGATATTAAATAGCTTAACGGTTTGTAAGATGAGTGAAGTATGCTTTAGCCTATAAGTAAATTCTAAAATAGCTGAACTCTGTCAACCCTGGTAATATGTCCAGATTTTGAAGTTGGAGGGAATTGCTCTATGAGGACCTACATACTAGCGTGTGGTAGATCTTGGAAGGAATGGTGGTTGGGGAAAAATACACAGGGAAGCTGCTAATGTGTTTAAGGGATTGACTTGGTGAATTCTTTTCAGTGAAGCAGCCAGCCCTAAATATTTCCTATTTCAGCTGTCATAATACATGTAGGGGCTTTTGGGGGCTAGAGGTTTCTCCTAGGTAGTATTTGAATCCCTTGACTTTTCTGGTGATATCGCTACCAGGCTAACATTGCTTGTTCTGTGATCTTGGAGCAAATCGGTGAGCGTCATTCTTGGTGCTTATATAGTTTGCGTTCTTGGATTCTGATTCTATTTCTCTAAAATTTAGCATATCTTTGATTTCTTCATTATTAAAGTGTTGCTGCATTCCTAGCCCAAAGTCCTGCTTGACTGGTAGTTCTAAGTGATGAGTCCAAGCATCTCAAGTTTCTGTTCTGTTAGTGGAAGGATAGGTGTACTAGAGAATTCAGCTCACCTGGGATCTGAATTATCCTCTGGACATGTCCAAGTTATTTATTTGACAGGAACAACCAGGCTTCCCTGTCGTAGATCAGCTTACTAACTCAGGCAGGTCAACTAACTGGTGTTAAGGGGGAAGAATTCAGAACTCAGACCTCTTACTTCCTAGACTTACTCCATGTTGGTTGCTTCTGGAAATTTCCTTAAGAACCATTTTCCTCTTCGGTGATATTTCATTTCTGGATTAGCTTTGTGGTGTTTTTTTCTTCCACTCATGCTAGTCTAACCTAATGGATCTTTTTTTTTTTTTTGTCTGCTTTAACAAACTTCTTATATTCTTGTGTGTACAGCATCAAAAGCAAAAAAAGCATCACAGTCTTCTGGGAAAATAACTGTTAAAGCAAAAGAGAAGAGCTACTCCAAACTTGAAATACCGTATCAAGCAGAAGTGTTGGATGGGTAAGCTTGCAGTAATTGAACAAAGTTCAAAAACTAAATGGTGTAAATTAGCTGATGTAGTGGGGAATTTAGCCTTTTTAGGGGGAGAGGGGATACAAAAAGGTGATAGCCAAGTTTTCTAAATCTGGAGCTCATTTAGAACTAGAATGACTTGTTTGAATTTTTCTGGTTTTACACCAGTAGTTGAGGTAGTCTTAGTAATGCATAAGCTGGTTTCAAGGCTTGGGTTCAAAGTGACCTTAGTTGTTTTTCAGAGCAGCTGAAGGCTGCAGATGAGACACTTTTAACAATGAAATATTGGAAATTTTTCCAGTTCTGCCTTTGCTGTTCTTTCACTATATGAAGTAAGAGTAGAGAAAATATTTTTGGTTTTCAGAAAAATTTTGGAAGAACTGTCAGTGCTTCCTTATTTACAAAGTATGGCTGAGTTGACTTTAAAATTATTGTTGAAATAAGGTCCTTCTTTACCAACAGAACTGACAGAATATTTTAAAGGCAAACAAACCTCTCAGAACTTTCGTGCTGCAGACACCTGATTTGGTTAATAAGGAATATGCATGATTTGCAAACTGTCTTAATACTTCAGCACTTCCTTTCAGTCCTCATAATATGCTGATTCACATATTTTCTTATTTTATTTGAATGAATTAATTCTCAATGTCCCTATAGTGCTAATAATATAGTTTCAGCATGCAGGGGGTTATGTACCTTTTTTGCTGTTGGACTAAATGAATTCTAGTCCTTTGTGTAAGAAAAACACTTTATGTTTGAGGAAAGTATTTATTTTTCTTATACTGTTTTCTTTTAATAGATATTTAG